ATAACCATGACCCAATTCTACTATATTTGTATAGAAGATGTTCTCTGAATTTTGCCAACCAAGTATGTCATTGTCTTTTTCAGATTTAGATCATCAGCTAAGAAAGAAGACAACTAAATTTGTCATCTGTGCCCAAAGACAAGGGGATGACTTTGTCCCCAACATTTAATTGGCAAACAAGAGGAGTCATCTTCCACTCAAGTCCTTACAAAATCTCTCATATTAGAACAGACACTGTCAATCACTTTACTTTTAATAAGAAAATATTATTTAGAGAAGATAAATTTACATGGAGTAATGCTAATCAACCATAGATTTGAATGATTATCAAAGTCACCTAACAAAAATAGTTTAAAAAGAAAAGGGCAAAAGAACTCTATGTAGATTTACTATCAATCTTGTTGTTACAGCCCTGACATTGCAGTTTTGTGAGCTCTCTAAGCAAGCATTTTATAAAGAATATATACATATATAGAATGGCTGTGGTATGGAGATGACAAAGAAAGATAAAAATAGAGGGCGAATGAGAATTCAATTGCACCACTCTTTTGTGACTAGGTGCTTAATGACCTATGATTATAATTCCAAATTACTAGCATTATAATCACACACACAAATGTTGTGTCTGAACTACATTAAACAGGAGATTATAGCAAAGGTGCTTTGGAATGCTGTCATACAGACTCAAAACTGTCTTTAGTGGTGAATAAAATCACTCATGCCTGAAAATTCATAGGTGGTATTTGAAAAATCTGTCCCAGGAAATAGAACAAAAAAGCAAATATTTTCAGCATGAGTAAATATATGATGTGATTTTAAATATTTTTCATATGCAAATTAAACTAGACACTATAATTAGACATTTGACTATTTCATCCACATCCATCAATATATAAAATCAAGTTAGAAGGATTTTTCTAACTTTTAACTGGAGGATGTTTCATTGGAAAAACGGGTAGATTTGTGTTTGGGGACTCTTTATAGGCAAATGCAAAAAAAAATTCTGCTAGAGTAACTCAGTGACTTCTCTGTGTCCAGCTGAAAAAGATGGAGTTTCACACAGTTTTGTTTTTCTTTGGAGTTTAGTTTAACCTGGAGAGTTAAACCCTCCTGGAGCTATTTATACCAACTCTTACAGCAAAGTTAAAAACTGAGTCCTCACCCTTTTCAGTAGCCTAATAAGGATCGCAATTCCAACGATAATTCCAATGACACCAGCAATCACCGCAAAAATAATGACTACTATTACTGTAGGAGAAAAATAGAGCAGCAAATTACAAAAGTGTGAAGTAAATGATCACACAGCATTTGTAAAATAAAGCAGGTAAAATCAGGGTAATATCACTTTTTCTTTTATAGGGGAAAGTGACAGTCCTCAAATACAGTGTTGAGAAGGTAGCTCCAAACTGGTAGCCCAGGGTCTAAAATGAATCTGGACTAAGACATGAATGGTCTGTATTTATTCTGGATGTACCCACAGTTGGTTAGAAAGCTCGAGATATATAACTTAAAATAAAAATGATGACCAGATTACATACTGCTGTTTCTAAAATGTTTAAGTAATTGGAAATGCCTATTTTGATTTTGAAAAGAGCATATTTTATTTGTTTTTACAATTTGTGTGACTGAAATCAGTAGCACTCTTGTTTTTAAAATTAGCTAGTGGTTACCAGCGGGGAGAGGGAAGAGGGAAAGGCAACATGGGGCTAGGTGAATAAGAGGCACAAGCTGTCATGTATAAAATAAATTGCAAGGATATTTATTATACAGGGCTTCCCTGCTGGCTCAGACAGTAAAGAATCCGCCTACAGTGCAGGAGACCTGGGTTTGACTTCTGAGTTGGGAAGATTCCCTGCAGAAGGGAATGGCAAGCCACTGCAGTATTCTCGTCTGGAGAATCCCATGGACAGAGGAACCTGGCGGGCTACAGTCCATGGGGTCACAAAGAGTCGGACACGACTGAACAACTAAGTATGGCACAGATATTGTACAGCACACAGGAATGTAGCCATATTTTATAACAACTATGAATGGAGTACAACTTTTAAAAGTGTGAATCATTGTATTCTATACCTAGAACAAATAATAATGTATAGTAACTATACTTCAATTAAACTTTTTAAAGCAAAATCAGAAAGTAAACTAAAAAAAAAAATTGATGCTTCTAGTTCCAAGGCATTTAAAACTCATAAAACAAAATTTTAAATGGAATGATCATCATTCTTTGTCAAATATTAACATACCTGACTGTGAGAGGTCATGTGGTAGTTCTTGGTATGGTCCTAAAAAGGCAATATTTCAAAATAAGGTCAGAAAACACACGGCATGTTTAAAAAATACCCCTTTGGAATTAGACTGTCTAGTGGGTTTTTGTTATTCCCTATCTGTGTTTAAAGAACTACATAGTTCAACTTTCAACAGTGAGCAAGTAAAATATAGGAGGTAATGTGTCAGTCTTAATATTAATAATCCCAATATCTATTTTCAGCTACCCAACAAGTTTCCATTCATCAGGAATTAGTAAATTACCTCATGCACTAAGGGGAAGGATATGACAAACTGTTGGAAGAACCATCTATGGACTTCCACAAGAAGCAGTGCACTTTTAAAAAAGGTAAAAATGGTGATCAGAAAGAGACATATTGAGCTGTAATCCCACATGAACATCAGTCCAGTACACAAAAGAGCTGGACAAGACTGAATGTAAGTTCAGTCATGTTTCTATCCATTTTCCACCATCAGAATCCAAATCCTTACTTTGTCCCAGCTGTGTTTTTGCCAGGAGTCTCACTGGATTCCTTTCTGCAAACGTACCTAATATAGTTGCCCTAAATCGTATGGACCTAACAGAAGCAGAAGATATTAAGAAGAAGTGGCAGGAATACACAGAAGAACTGTACAAAAAAGATATTCATGACCCAGATAATCACGATGGTGTGATCATTCACCTACAGCCAGACATCCTGGAATGTGAAGTCAAGTGGGCCTTAGGAAGCAACACTACAAACAAAGCTAGTGGAGGTGATGGAATTCCAGTTGAGCTATTTCAAGTCCTAAAAGGCGATGCTGTGAAAGTGCTGCACTCAATATGCCAGCAAATTTGGAGAACTCAGCAGTGGCCACGGGACCAGAAAAGGTCAGTTTTCATTCCAATCCTAAAGAAAGGCAATGCCAAAGAATGCTCAAAAAACTGCACAATGAGAGGAGAGTGAAAAAGTTGGTTTAAAGCTCAACATTCAGCAAACTAAGATCATGGCATCTGGTCCCATCACTTCATGGCAAATAGATGGGGAAACAGTGGAAAGAGTGGCTGACTTTATTTTGGGAGGCTCCAAAATCACTGCACAAGGTGATTGCAGCCATGAAATTAAAAGACGCTTACTCCTTGGAAGAAAAGTTATGACTAATCTAGACAGCATATTAAAAAGCAGAGACATTACTTGGCCAACAAAGTTCTGTCTAGTCAAGGCTATGGTTTTTACAGTGGTCATGTATGGATGTGAGAGTTGGACTATGAAGAGGGATGAGAGCCAAAGAATTGATGCTTTTGAACTGTGGTGTTGGAGAAGCCTCTTGAGAGTTCCTTGGACTGCAAGGAGATCCAACCAGTCCATCCTAAAGGAGATCAGTCCTGGGTGTTCATTGCAAGGACTGATGTTGAAGCTGAAACTCCAGTATTTTGGCCACCTGATGTGAAGAGCTGACTCATTTGAAAAGCCCCTGATGCTGGGAAATATTGAGGGTGGGAGGAGAAGGGGACAGCAGAGGATGAGATGGTTGGATGGCAACACCAACTCAAAGGACATGAGTTTGAGTCAACTCCGGGAGTTGGTGATGCACAGGGAGGCCTGGCGTTTTGTAGTCCATGGGGTCACAAAGAGTCAGACATGGCTGAACGACTGAACTGAACTGAACTGAATGCCCTGCTAGAGTTAATCCCCCCTTACCAGTCCACAATAATATTTATTTTTCTGTTGTCTCCCAATGCCATTTTATGTCAATTCTTGAATTAACTACAAGTAATATATTGCACTACATTACATGAGCTTGTCAAAGACTTGATTATGTTTGGTCATTCTTTAGCCATCCATTATTTATTGAATTCATGGCATTTGTCCTATGTGTGTCTGCAGTTGACTCATGAATGTTTTCTGGTTTGACACTATCATGTTGGCTTTACACTGAAATCACTTTGAAAAGTAGATTGTTTAACTGGATCCAGAAGTCCAGAAATTGGTTCTAAGCACTTAGCCTAATTTTCCTCTTATTGCTTCCCTTTTTCTCAGTGTTTCCACTAGCTGATGATCCAGGAGCTATGCTAAGTCTTCTTTGAGACTTTACTTTAAATCCAGAGGACCCTGCCTAAATCCCACCTACAAAAGGCCGCCTTCTTTCAACCTGCTCTTTCAAAGTCACCTTCTACTCCATATAAAAATAATCAGAGAGAGAGTGAATGCCACCTGACCACCCTTACTCAGGACACAGACGGCTTATACTTTACTGGGCATGTATGATGTACTGGGCTCTCAGTCAAGCAATTTTACACACATTCTCTTATTTAATCCTTAGGGAAACACTGTGAGGTAGGTATAGTGAGCCCCATTTTAAAATTAAGAGGTGGAGACCCTTTGGAGAACTCGGGGTTCAATCTACTCAGAGTCAGCACCTGGGACAGGGCCAAAGTCAGGGCTGAGTCCGGCCAGGTTTGACCATAAGCCCCCTCTCACCACTGCACTACTGGATCCCTTTTATGTGGCCTACCATTTCATGGTCACATTCATCACTTATCTGTTTTGCTAGAATGCTTTAATTTCCTTAATCTACAGTATTATTCCTGTGCAACATTCCAGAAGCGAGAATTCCTCTAGAGGAGAAAGGCTTTGTCTATTTTGCTTCCATTTCTCGGTCTTTGTCAGTTTCCCTGCAGGAGTCAGTCCCATTAAGTAGAGCTGCATCATCACAGTGACTCCAGAGGAAAACTGTTTTAAAACATGAACAAACCTGGTGTTGTAATTCTACGCTCATAAACTGGTGACTCTGTAGTTGAAATGGCACTGGCCGAAGAAGCTGTACAAAAGAGAAGTTGAGAAAGGGATTAAGGTTGAGGTAATGAGTGGATCACAGAGCACATCACAAAAGACAAATTCACCCCACGTTGCTCCCAGTGGCAGCTCCAGAATTCTTATGTGGCAGGGCCTTACAGGTGAAGAAGGCGAGCCTTGATTTCCCCACCTGTAAAATGATAATACTTACTTCAAAATGTCATTGAGAGGACTAAGTTAGTTTAATATATAATTCGTGTGCTTTCAGATACACACATCAGTTAGTATAGTGTGTACTTAGTCGCTCGGTTGTGTCTGACTCTTTGTGACTCGTGGACTGTAGCCCATGAGGCTCTTCTATCCATGGGATTTTCTAGGCAAGAATACTGGAGTGAGTTGCCATTTCCTTCTCCAGGGAATCTTCTCAACCCAGGGTCTGAGTTTGCATCTCCTGCATTGCAGGCAGATTCTTGACCACTGAGCCACCGCGAGCCCCACCTGATTCATTACATGTATATAAACAATTGTCACACAAATTAGGTATATGGTGTGACAAATGACTAGTATCTCTAAGTTATCCTTCATCATTTAGATGCAAAGCTTAAAATATAATGTAAGAACAAGAGGTTTTCTCAATTGAAATATAGTTGATTTCATATAATTCAAAAATAACTAAAAAGTCTCTTGATGAAAGTGAAAGAGGAGAGTGAAAAAGTTGGCTTAAAGCTTAACATCCAGAAAACTAATATCATGGCATCTGGTCCATTGATGGCATCACCAACTCGATGGGCATGAGTTTAGTAGACTCCAGGAGTTTGTGATGGACAGGGAGGCCTGGCATGCTGCGATTCATGGGGTCGCAAAGAGTCAGACACGACTGAGCGACTGAACTGAACTGAAAAATAATTCAGTTATACATACACACACATACACACACACATCTATGTATATTTTCAGGTTCTTTTCCATTAAAGTTGTTACTAAATATTGAATTTAATTTCCTGTGCTATACAATAGGTTCTTGTTGTTTATGTATTTTACATATAGTAGTGCATCTGTTAAGAACAAGTGTTTTTAAACAATAACTAGATCATAGGAATGTTGACATTCAGGAACTATTGAGATTAAAATTATGGAAAGAAAGATTTTCATCAGGAATCAATGAAAGTATGTAAAAACAAAAAAGAATAGCTAATGAACAAAAATGATCTGTCTCTCTTAGTTAATGTTACATCTTCCTTTACACTTTTCAGTTCAGTGCAATTCATTCACACTTAGGGCACACATTTATAACCCCTGTGGATACCAATGAGCTTTTCTGAAACAAGCTTCCCTGGGCTCCTAGATCCCAGGCCTGGCGCATTCTGAATCTCTTCCACTCTAGAACAGGGCTCTGTACATAGCAAGCATTCAGCAAAATACTAGCAGTTGTAAATGTTTGGTCAATTTCCTTTCTTTTTTAAAAAGATCTCATTTTCTTGAGATAAGTTGACATACAGTAATGAATTGTTTGACTAGGTTCTTATGGAGAGACAGGTAGGTGAGTGTCTGGATTGCACCTTAAATCAATGTAATGATGAATGAAATAAGCCATGTGCCAAAGGGCATGCACAGAATGAGTGTAAGAATAGTGGAAACCTGCCTCCACAGCAGACTGACACAATATTTTTGATGTTTCAATACCAAGCACACAATTCTACAATTAGAAGGAAAAAAAATCCCAAAGTGAAAAACAAAAAAATAAAACCATACCAAATTTAGAGTTTTTAAGTAGTACATGCATGCTAAGTCACTTCAGTTGTGTCTGACTGTTTGCGACCCTACGGACTGCAGCCCACTGGGCTCCTCCGTCCATGGGATCCTTCAGACAAGAATACTGGAATGGCTTGCCATTTACTCCTCCAGGGGATCTTCCTGACTCAGGAATCGAACCTGTATCTCTTGTCTCTTGCATTGGCAGGTGAGTTCTTTGCCACTAGTGCCACCAGGGTAGGTAAAAGTTTAACTGAAGCCATCTAGAGTTATGACTGAGTGCAAAGATTGCACTACTCCAGGCCTTCTGACTGTCTGAGTCAGGAGTTTCAGTGGTTAGTTAGGGAGGTGTGCTCAGTCTATGGGACGGTGCCCCCTCCTCTTTACGAACACCCACAAGACCCTGTGTGCCCCAGCCCCTGCCTTTTTCCCCATCGATGCTTGTAACTTCACCCTCCTCTTGGGGTCTAGGCATCTGGACAGCTCTTGGTTCCTCAAATGCAGCACACTCTTCTCCATGCCCACACCTTTGTACCAAGTCTTCTCTTTGCCTGAAATATCCTCCCATGGTCCTCCTCTTGAATAGCTATCCACTTCTCAGGTCCCAGTTCAAGGCCATTTTTATTGGGAGGTCTTCTCTGACCTCCCCTACTTCGGTTTAGGCTAAAAACTACACAAGATCCCAGGGTTTAGCATAGTGTGTTAGAGCTAAATGAAATCTTATGATTGACTGTTTAGAATCCAGATGTGTTTCATAGGCCTTGATGGTGTGGATGAAAAAATGTTGCTTGCCGTATCAGTGAACAAAGGATGTTGCAGACACCAGGCTTTCATCCATTGCTGCCACCCCACTCTGTAGACCCCGAGGGGATTCAGCATGCAGAAAAGCAGGCTACTGGCTATAGATAGTTAAGGTGTATATCAAAGGAATGACTGTAGTAAGTCCAGACTCTTGCATCTTCCCATACATGGAAAAGCACGAAATTTATTAACTTGAGATGTCTGGCTTTCTTTAACTAAAAGTAATCTTTTGACATTCTGACTACTTTACTTCTATTTTAATATTCATATAAATCCTCCCTTACTTCTTCGATGCAGTCACTCAGAGCTATCTGAGAGGCTTTTTCTGGGCTTAAGCCCTCAGAAATTCTGCCAAATAAAACATAATTCTCAACTTTAGGGTTGTGCATTCTTTTTCAGCCAACAATGTTTCCTGGGCCCCTTGGACATTTACTCACTTGTTTGTTACTTTACATGAAGGTTTAGGCATGTCTCTTTTGTACTAGGGATACAAGGAAATAATAAATAATTCATGGTTTTTCCATCAAGGAAATCCCAGCTTAGGAAAGAGAGACAAAATTTTAATTTAAGTGTAATTAAATATTTTAGGGGGATGGTGAAGCAGTGGGACAGGAAACAGTGGTCAGTTCTATTTGAAAAAGGAGGAAATGGAAAGACCTCATGGAGGGATTCTCTGAACTCACCTTGAAAGTGGTCTAGGGTTTCACCCGGCTGACTCTGTGGACATTTAGGTACAGAGTCAGTGGTGTCAGTGATGCCCCTGCACTCAAGACATCCTGGTGGGTTGGGGGAACCACAAAAATCTATGTGGCTGCACCATAGGGTGTGAGAAGCAGAGAAGACAGTGATGTGCCAGGTGTTGTGGTCCACGGCATGGAATTTCCACTGACTAAGGCAGCTGGATGAAGTGTTTGAACCAGACTTTCATTTGGGGAAGATCATTGTCTATGGCACGAAGGAGGATATAGGGAAAAGAAAAAACAAGCCAAAAAACCATGCTCTGAGCTCTTCATAGGAGGATCCCATCTTGTGTTCAGTAGTGGTCAAGATAAGCAGTCATTTTGCAAATAGGCCGCTCCTCCTTACAGAGGGTCCTTATCACTTGTCAGCACAGTCTTTGGTAGAGAAGGCCTATAGACTAAGACCATAAAGGGACAGAAAATGACAGCAAGTTTTAAAAAGAATATGCCAAAGAGCTGATGGTAAGATCTCACACCTCTAAAAACTGGCACTTCAAGCCTCTAATTTTAAGCAAAGGCAGAGAAGAGGATCATGGTGTTTGCCAGGGATAATCAGTTTGTGTAACTTTTTTGCTATCCAAATAAGAAAATGCTTAGGGAGAGAGAGCTCATTAAAATTAATTTGAACTTTGGCAAAACAAATTTAACACTCTAGCCTGAACCTCTTAGGGGCTGGATGCCAGGAAGCATTTCTTTCCTGCTTTTTTTCCCCGCCTCTTTGCTCTAGGATCTTCCCTTTCTGCTACTTGCTGTTGTTCAGTCTCTCCATTGCGTCTCGTGTGTCTCTCTGTGCTCAGACTCTGTGCGACCCCATGGACTGCAGCACTCCAGGCTTCCCTGTCCTTCACTGTCTCCCGGAGTTTGCTCAGACTCATATTCACTGAGTCAGGGATGCCATGCAACCAGCTCATCCTCTGCTGCCCCCTTCTTCTGCCTTCTATCTTTCCCAGCATCAGGGTCTTCTCCTGTTTGCCTTGTTCGTTGACTAAAAATCAATCTACATTTTGTCCTAATTAATTCAGAATATACTTTTACATTTTACCTTCAAGTCCCTTGGAACAGTTAATCTAACTTTCTTACTTTATAGATAATAAATTTGAAAATTAAACGATTAGCTTAGTTTAACAAAGTAGGTAAGGAACAAAATTGAGACCGAATTCTGCTGTTTTCCAATAATACTCCAACTTCCCAGACCTCCACCTGGTTGAGATCTTGTCAGCGAGATTTCTTAGATGTTTTAGCATATTAGCTGGTGAACATCGGGGTGCACTGTACACACAAAAATGACAACTAAATTCCTCAAGATTCCCAGATACCCTAAGGGCTAGAACTGATATCATAATCACGTAGTCTTCATTTTGATGATTTTTTCACACCAATCTATTGCATTACTTCCATTATATCTCTTAGACTTCCATATCCTCTTATTATAGCCTCTAAGAAAAACTGTTTTCTGCTCTAGCAATATTGACCTAAGGGTCTTTTCCTTAATCCTTTTACTTCTTTTTCAGGAACACATCCAGATTATACCTGAAAAATTCCACCTATGTCACCAAGAGAAGCACTTTTACCTCGAGGCATAATGGAAGATGTGTCCAGTATCAGACTACCTAAGGAGCACATGGGTCTTGGACCAGCACGGCACATTTCCTTAGCTTCACCGGGCTCTGAAAACTACTCTGAAGTCCTTACCCTCTGCCTGCTTGCACTGAGGCACTGGTTGAAACTTGAAGGATAGGTAGAGTTTTAGGTGGAAATGTGGATGAGGTCAAATTACGGTGAAGAAGTGACCTTAAAATGGGCTAAAATATAAAGAAAGAGAATACTGTGTGCATTTATGTGGACATTAGAGGGCAACCAGTAGGCAAAGACTGGCAAGCTTCTCAGACTGACACGAGTTTCATGTTCAAGTGGCAAATTAGTGCAAACTGGAATAAAAGGGTAGGTTTAACAAGGCCTCAAACTCCTAGTTTAAAAAATTTTTTATAGTGCCCAAATACTAAAATGACATTTGCCTTGGCACTTTGCACAAAGTATGTATTTATTACTTGGACTGAATCACTTAATTTTAGGTTTCGGAGGCAGGAATGAATGAATGAATATACCACCCAGAACATTAAATATTCCAGATTTGTGTGGTGGTATCATCTCATACTTGCATAACATCTGAATTGTTCCAGAATATTCATCTCTTTTGTCTCATATTGTCATGGCTCTGACCTCACAGTTGTTCAGAAAAACTCTACCAGCTTGAGATGTCTGGGTACTGTGGGAGGGTGCACGACAGGCCCCCTGTTCCCAGTGTGCGGGAGAGGTGGATTGGGTTGTGGGTTAGAGGCACAGTTGGGCCTGGAGATCTAGTCTCCCAGCACTCTGCACTATGCTCTAACCACTCGGCACACAGCTCTCCCAAACAACTGACTTCCTAACATGGAATGTCATTAGAAAGAATATAAAATGCAGTGTTGGACCAACACCCTGCAGTTTTGCTCTCTGCCCAAATTTCCAGCTGCTGAGCCCCTGTCATGATGTGATAAAATCATCTCATGCAGTCATTGGTTTTAGCTTGGTTCCCTCCCGCCTTGCAATTGATAGAAGTCTTATCTCAGCAAAGCAAACTCTTACAAGGATACACCCCGCCTACGAAAGGCCTTCAATAGTTTCCAAGTCAGAAAATGACATTTTCTAAGTGTTAGAGTTTTCTTGCACTGGGATGACCATGAAAACTGGTCAGTAATGTATTTGTGAAAGTTCTGAACAACTAATTTGTGGTAAAACAGGGAAAAACTTGCACTAGCTGGCTTCCAACTCAATGCCTTTTCTTGCAGACCTTATTATTTTTTTACAGAATGGACAGGGCTCTTCCTTATTCCAAAAGATATTTGGAGAAAGCTATTGCCATGAAGCAATATTTTAAAAGAAATACTCAGTTTTGCCCTTAAACCAAATGGTTGACAACATCAATCTGATCAAGCTGTGATAATATAGTTAGATGTCCCTTTTGTCTGCTGTTGTTCACTTTTATTTTTTTGGAGAGATTTTAGTAAGTCACAGTAGCTAGTTACAATTGAGAAAAACTGAACTTTCTAAAGGATAAAATGTTGATGGGATAACATTGCACCTAGTGTTTTGAATAGCCCTCAAAATTTTGTGTGAAGTCCCTGGTTAATAACTCTTAGAGAGCGTGCCCACTGGTGCAATCAGCAGGCCAGATGTCAAATGCAATGACCCAGTTTCTGCTCACCTACAGAGTGGGCTGCTTGGCCAGTTCCCAGCAGCCAATGGGTCACACCTCTGCCTTCCCCAGCCTGGTGGAAAACAGCTCTTCGCTAAGTCTGCCTTGAAGCTGTTATTACCTAGGAGGAGAGTGGTTTCCCTGAACTTCATAGCCTGGCTCCGTCTCACCCAGATTCTAGTCACTCTCATTGTTCCAAACTAGTACTGATCCAGCCAATGAGAGAGAAAAACCAGCCTATAATCCCAGCCACTGTGCGTTCTTTAGCCTGAACAGATAGAAAGCAAGGGATATTTCTGTTCATTGTCCCACAGAGAAAGGAGATGAGGATTCTAGTCCTGGCTTTGCCACCAAGGGGTGGGAGACCTGAGTAAGTCACTGACTTTTCTAAGCCTCATTGTCTCACTTATAACATGAGAGTAGAGACATAGGTGTCCTCGAAGGCAGAGGTCCCCAACCTCTGGGATCTAATGTCTAATGATCTGAGGTGGGGCTAATGTAATAATCATAGAAATTAAGTGCACAATAAATGTCATGCAATTGAATCATCCCAAAACCACCCCTCCGACTCCAGGTCTATGGAACAATTGTCTTCCATGAAACTGGTTCCCAGTGCCAAAAAGATTGGGGACTGCTCCCTAAGGTACTTCATTATTCCAAAATCATAGACATTTGCATGTCTGAGACAGCAATATTCATAACAAGCAAACTGTGTATTAACTACATTCTAGGCATTTTCTTTTCAAAACAATTACCTGAGAGTATATTTACGTATTAATTATTATGTGCAGAGGAAAAAAAAAAAACAAAGATAAGAAACATCACCTAACTTGCCTAAGATCATGAAGCTGATAAATGGTGCAGGTGGAGTTTGAATTCCCACCTATTTGATTGCAGAACTGTATGCCAAGCTCTGCCATAATCTATGCAAAATAAAGAGCTTGAGAGCACCAAATAAGTGTCATTGAAAGAAGATGAAATTCTCACCAAGTTATGTAACTAACTCTCAAGTAAGCCTTCCCTTCTAGCAAATCAGAGTTAACTGAAAAGATGCAAAAATAATAACTTACCTTGTGCAGAAGCTGAGGATGGGACGGTTATTCCCTTAACATACAGAGGTAGAGTGACCTCCAGTGTCAGATCCAGCTTATGGAATGACAGATATTTCCGGTTGGAAACAATTTATAACCTGAAATCTCATTTTTTTGCTGCTAAACGTCTTCCAGTCCAGTTACTCTTGTTTTACCATGAATCCTCAGAACTAAAGAAGCTTTCACGTATTTTAGATGTGCCAGCTTTATTTTAAGATATTGGCATTGTATAGCTAAACTCCCTAAACGTATTAGATATGGGATTAAGGAAGTTAGGATGGATGAGGAAAATTCTAATTAAAAATGAAAGTTCTCACACCACTGATACTTCTCATCACTGGCTGGATAATAATGAATGGGACAAATAGAAACTAGATCAGGATGTTCACTTTTGATGCTGTGTCCAAGAACCATCTGTGTACTCAGACATTGGAGTCTAATGCACTGCCTGCAGTAAGAATATTGCTCCAGACTAGATAAACTGTAGAAACTTCATTTTCCTAATCTTTAAGATCTTTTCTTAAATTTTCAAAGGTTCTAATATCAGTAGTTCCCAATTTTTCGGGCACCAGGGACCGGTTTCATGGAAGACAATTTTCCCATGGACAAGGGTTGGGAGGAGAGGGTTTTGGGATGGATCAACCACATTACATTCATTGTGCACTTTATTTCTATTATGATTACCTCACATCTTTCAGAATGACTATCAAAAACATCTACAAAAGTTGGAGAGGATGTGGAGAAAACCAAATCCTTGTATACTGCCAGTGAGAATGTAAATTGGTGCAGCCATAATGGAAAATACTATGGAAATTGCTCCAAAAATGACAAATAGAGCTACCATGTGATCCAGCAATTCCATTCCTGGGTATATATGCAAAGAAAATGAAAACACTAATTCCAAAAAATATTTGAACCCCAATGTTCATAGCAGCATTGTTTACAATAGCCAAGGTATGAAAGCAAGCAAAGAGTCCATCAACAAATGAGAGGATAGAGAAGATGTATAACACACACATCCACCCTCCCCCCCACACACAGAGACACACACAGGAATATTATTCAGCTGCAAAAAGGAATGAAACTCTGCCATTTGGAACAACATGGATGAGCCTAAAAGGTGTTACACTTAGTGAAATAAATCAAACAAAGGAAGACAAATATTTTATCATATCACTTATATGTGGAATCCAAAAAATAAGATGAATGACTAGAACAAAACAGAAATAGATTCACAGATTACAGAGAAGAAACTAGCAGTTAACAGTAGGGAGTGGGGGGCGGGAAGGGCATAATAGGGGTGAGAGATTAAGAGGTATGAACTATTACATATAAAATAAATAAGCTAAAAGAAGATATTGTAGAGAACAAGGAATATAGTCAATATTTCATAAAATTCTAAATTCAGCATAATCAATAAAAATTTTGAATCACTATGTTGTACACTTGAAACTAATATAACACTGTAAATCAACTATATTTCAATTAAAAAAAAACAGAAAATGGGAAAATATTAACCTTGGGTTATCTCATATGTCTACTGTCAATTCTTGCTCTTTTCTCTATCAGATCCCTGAAATCAACTTCAGTATACATCACAACCAAGTTTATTTGAGCAGTAAATAAGGACAATGAAATGAGCATGCTGATATCTAGGTTTTTCTCTGTTAATGTTCACTGGCATTGCTTAATGATAGAGACAGCTTAGAAAGCAGAGGTTGTATGTTTTGGCTTAATTTGAAAAATTTTAAACAGTTTTCTAATTATATTTCATAATTCATTTCACAGAGAATTTAGAAAGTATTAAAAAACAGAAAAAAATTACCCCAATTCCAATAGCCAGAGTTAACCCTGAAATGTTTCTTTTCAGTGTTCTTGCTTTAATTTGACTCATGTGTCATAGAAAACCACACAGATAGGTGCTTATTCAATACATAGATATGACAATAATGGCTGGAAATCTATCACTTGTCTGCTTTGGTTGGTAACTTACCTGGTGAAGCATGACTCTCAGGTGCCACTGTAATCTGTGTTGCAGCAGGTTTTGTAAAAATATAACCTACAAAGACATTTGGGAAAATTAGCTAAGATGTACTTCCCCAATAGGTTCATAGATGTTTTCAGTCATCCTCTAGAGACCAAAGTACAAAGAAATTCGTCACAAGAATGTTAAATCCAACTTCCCAATTTAAAACCAGTGCAGGTTGATTTTGAGTGCCTCCTTCCCCGTCTTAGAAATCCTTCTCCAGGAGTTCAGAGTGAGAGTGTTCATTTTTTCCCTAAAAACCCAATTTAACACCAAGCTAAAGATTTACAGATTTGGAAACTAGCCTATGGATCATCTCAGGCTGACCTTTGAGGCATCACTGAAGTTTAGAGATGAAAAGGATTTTAATACCATCTAGTCTGTGTTTTATTTGATAGGTAGGACAAAAATGAGACACATGGGAATCAATCAGTTCTCCACACTTAAACTACTCTGCAGCAAAATTGTAATCATTTGTTGTTTCTGCAACTATTACTAATTGAGTGCCTACTACATGCCTAGCAGGCTTCCCTGGTGGCTGAGATGGTAAAGAATCTGCCTGCAAGACAGGAGACATGGGTTCGATCCCTGGGTCGGGAAGATGTCATTGAGAAGGGAATGGCAACTCACTCTAGTATTCTTGCCTGGAGTATTCCACGGACAGAGGAGTCTGATACGCTATGGGCCATGGGGTCATAAAAAGTAGGATACAGCTGAGAGACTAGACACAGACATACGCCTAGCAGAGTGGGGGAGACAAAAATGAAGACACAGATTTGACTTTTAAGAAATTTAGAGTGTTGTGGTCCCTGAAACCCAGTTCAGAACTCATTCCTGTAACAATTAAATTAAGAGAAAGGTTCTCTTCCTAGATTACTGAAGGAGGAGAAGCCTTGCTTCTTTGCTTGGTCATTCTAACGGTGTGCTTGCAGACACGTGTGGTGAGATGCACACAGATAACCAAGGTCTATGGACCCAGAGCTCTCTCCAAGCGCTTTTTAGCATCAGGACTCTGTACTCAAGTCAGAGCTTTGGCTTTTCCTTGCACACACTCTGTCTTCTTCTGCCCCAGAACTTTCGTCCTTCCTCTCCCTTCTACCTCCACCACCCTTCTCCAAATTTTGCAAGTTTGGCTTCTTCTCCTTGTTAACTCTCATCAGAAATGTCACGTACTCAGAGAAAAAGACCCTGCTACCCTTCTCTGTGTTGGCCTTCTGCATCATGTTCATCACCTTCCCTGGTTTATTTCTGTGTGCTATTTTTCACTTTTTTAAATTTTAATACTTTTTCTGCTGAATGTCTCTGTTGCTTCCCTCTATCTGCCCCCACCCACCCTGAACATGAACTCAGGAGCTCATTTGTGTCACTGTCGTGGCCTTCATATAGGGAACCACATACGTACTTACTGAATGCACAAATGAGTGAAGGAATTCAGGGATTGGGCATCAGATCATTGAAAAAAAAATTACTCTCCACAGGAGGATGACCTCTGATACACTTAGAAATACTGGCTCTATCCATTAGATTATTGGAGAAAGCAAATAAACTCTTTTTTCCCCATTTCCTCACACTTTTCATGTTCTCTTCATCTAATGAGTGAGGGTGATAGCAGTCATTTCCAACATCTTTCTAGTATTCTATAAAGTAGTCAAATCAAGAAACTTTTTTGGGAGGATTCCAGAAATGCAAAGCTGATGACAGCCTTGGCACTGGATACCAAGGCAGTCTTTGGAGTCACTTAAACTTGCTGACCTCATGAAGTCTCACTGACGCCTTGACCCATTCTCTGCCTGAGCATTTGTAGCATAAATTTCTTTCTTTTCCAGGAGTCCTTTCCAAATACTGGGTTCCTCCCCTCCCTCAAATGGGTAATGTGTCTGCTTCGGGGCAGTAACGCCACTCTGCTCCACGGAACCACACCGTGAATAGCTCTGGTCTTCTCTGTGTGAAAGCTTTACATATATTTGAATATATTTCAATATTATGCCATATTCCTGCCGTGTATTTCCTTTTCCTCAAGCTAAATATTTTTATTCTTTGCTATTTACAAAAATTCGAGTAACTCTGTGCGTGCACGCTAAATCCCTTCAATTGTGTTCAACTCTGAAACCCTGTGGACTGCAGCCCACTAGGCTCCTCTGTCCATGGGGTTCTCCAGACGAGGATACTGGAGTGGGTTGCCATGCCCTCCTCCAGGGGAATCTTCCCGACCCAGGGATCAAACCTGTGTCTCTCATGTCTCTTGCTTTGGCATGTGGATTCTTTACCACTGGTGCCGCCAGCGTGCCTGCTAAGTCACTTCAGTCATGTCCAACTCTTTGCGACACTGTCGACTGTAGCTGGCCAGGCTTCTCTGTCCATGGGATTCTCCAGGCAAGAATACTGGAGTGGGCTCCCATTTCCTTCTCCAGGAAGATAACTCTGCTAGTCTTCTCTTTTCCTGAAGTTTCCCCCTTCTCCTTCACTTCTCAGAAATCACCATCCTATACCCAGGTTTGTTTCCTAGTTTATAATTGTTATCATAGCTAAATATTTATTTACTACAGCCAGATGCTAGAGTAAGGACATTGTGGTAATTATTTTGTTTATTTCTTAGGTGACTACTTGTAGGCAGCAGTAGGCCGGTACCGACATTTTCTGCGTTTCACAGACAAGAACACTGAGGCTGAGGGAGGGAAAGTAACTTGCCTTAATGCTTCCTGGCTTTCAGATGTGAAGCCAGGCTTGAAACTAGTTCTTTCATGTCTCTGCTTTAACCATTACACTACTTTATCCCCTAGTGCAGGGTCAGGCAAAAAAGTTGTTCAGATATCTCCATAACATCTTATGAACGAGTGAATGTTTTAGCCAACTTAATATCTAAGAAATTCCTGAATCCCTCCTCCAATTCCTAGAGTGCTCAGTTGATGCTTGAGACTCTCCGTAACTCAAATTACAACTACGTCTGAGGGGGCTAAACACATTTCAAATAATTGCCTGCTCCTTATCTAGGTGCTGGGCACTAGTATTTCTGACACATAAATGCTGTATTTGAGAAGAATTTTTAATCCTAACACTCTCAGGAAGAGGCCAAAGATAATGCTAATTTGAAATCACTTTATAAAACGCTTATGTTACTTTTTTATTTTAATGACTCGATTTCCATTGATTTCTAAACCACAAAATCCCTCAGCCAATAAGAGTTCTTTCTTTTTTCCCCTGTATCATGTCTCAGTAACAGACTACAAAGTGGAAAATAACGACCCCCCCCCCCACCTCCGCCGCCATGGATTCAGGGTTCATACTTGTGGCTTGTAATTTTTTGGCAGGAGAAGGAGGAAATTATAACTTTTGGGAAAACTTTTTGAAAAATGAGGAACATAGAGCCACCATCACCTTCATTAATGACTCTTTAATTTAGAAGTCAAACTCATGAAAATGCCAATAAAGCAACACATTGTTTCACACAGACTTGTTTTTCAGAGTATTTGATTAAATTGTTTCAAGGCTGGCTAGGCTTAGAATTGAACAGCACGCCTCTCACAGTGATCCAGCCGTGGGTACCTTCCCCCACCTTACCAATTCACTCTCAATAAAAATTTCATCCACCAGACTGGGCTGGGGTCCTGGCGGCTCAGTGACCAAGAATTTACCTGCCAGTGGAGGAGATGTGGGTTTGCTCCCTGAGGCAGGATGATCCCCTGGAGAAGGAAATGGCAGCCCACTCCAGTATTCCTGCCTGGGAAATCCCATGGACAGAGGAGCCTGGCAGGCTACAGTCCATGGGGTCACAAAAGAGTCGGATGTGACTTCTTGTAAACAACAAGACTGGGATCTGAATACTACTCATTCAGTTATTCAGTTAAATCAGATAGGCCTAAAATGAGAGTTTTTTCTTTATCTATAATCCTATGTCCCATATAATAGCATCCTGCTTAAAAAAAAAAAAAATCCACCTACCTGACAATAGTAATACAAAGATCATTTTTCGGTTCATCCTGAGATCATAAGCTGGCTTCCCAAGGTCAGTGCAAGAAAACCGCCAAGGATGACTGATGTGACATCTGTGGCCTCAGCCTACACATTGTTATCTTTCAGGCTCACGTTCTCCAGGCATCAGTTGATAGGCTGGGTGGCATTTTTAAATGATACAAAGTTGCGTACCATCTGTCCATGTAGATATGTGGGTATCTGCTTAGCCAGGATTATTAAAGCCTTCAGTTGAGTCTCCACTTCAGGGAACTGGCAGATACATGTTAAAATTACTTTGCATAAACTCAGTGGGCAGTTCAAGGTAACAGCAGTCAGGAGCCACCTGACTGGACAAACGAGAATTAGACTGTGAAGGCCTGAAGTTGGGCTTCCTGATGGCTCAGCTGGTAAAGAATCTGCCTGCAATGCAGGAGACCCTGGTTGGATTCCTGGGGTGGGAAGTTCCCCTGGAGAAGGGGTAGGCTACCCACTGCAGTCCTCCTGGGCTTCCCTGGTGGCTCAGAGGGTGAGGAATCCTCCTGCAATGCGATAAAGAACCCTCCAGCAATGCCGGAGACTTGGGTTTGATCCCTGGGTTGGGAAGATCCCCTGGAGGAGGGAATGGCAACCCACTCCAATATTTTTGCCTGGAGAATCCCATGGACAGAGGAGCCTGGCGGGCTACAGTCCATGGGGTCGCAAAGAGTTGGGCATGACTGAGCGACTAGGCATACACACGCAGGCCTGAGACTAAGGGCCCGAGTCGGGCTGAGGTCGCCAGGAAAATTCTGTTCTAATGTGGAGATTCTTGTGGGCCACGGAGAAAATGGCTTCTTACCTGAAATAAGCATGTTTGAGAACTGGAATTACTGTTAGCGTACTCTGAGGTTTGAAAAACTCTCTAGCTCATGGCAAGTGATACAGCAATGTAATAATACATGAGATGCGAAGAATCTTTAATTCACAATAGAATTTGAATGGAACAGCTAGGGCCCACACCCAACCAGTGAGATGATTTCTCTCCAAACATCCCTCATGAAGGAGGCATAGGGTGGATAATTAGGAGATTGGAATTGACATATATAAAATAGATAACCAATGGGAACCTACTGGATAGCTCAGAGAACTCTACTCAATGCTCTAAATGGGAAGAAAAATAAAAAAAAAAAGAGGGGATATATGTATATGTACAGCTGATTCACTTCACTGTATAGTGGAGGCTAACACAATATTATGAAACAGTTATGTGATGATGGTCAAGTCACTTAGTTGTGTCCAATTCTTTGTGACCCCATGGACTTAGCCCATCAGGCTCCTCTGTTCATGGGATTATCCCAGCAAGAACACTGGAATGGGTTGCCATTTCCTCCTCCTATAGTTGATTCACTTTAGTGGAGACTAACACAATATTATGAAAAAATGACACTCTAATAAAAATTAATTTTACAAAATCTAAGCCATTTTAGACATGTGTCAATCTCAAATAAAAAAGATTTTGTGCTAGCGAAAAAAAAGGAAGCATAAATAAATGATAAAACAATAAATATGAAGACTCAAAATAAAAAATACCACTCAAAAACCAAAAAAACTCATTGCAAAGCAGATTAAAATGAGAGGTATGGTCATTCAACGATCAGTTTTACAAGGAGGTGGAACAGCAACAACATGAACTAGATCTGAAACAGCCCCAAAGAAGGTGTTTGGATACTCTATCACAAATGTCTTACTTCCTCTAAGAGTTTGTGGCAGTCCTTCCTGCTTGACTCAGAAAATAAATTAGCTAAGTCAGCAAATTTGCTAACTAGAGTCTACGTCTATTTTTACCTGTATATATATATTTTTTTGGCTGTGCTGGGTTTCCGTTGCTGTGTGGACTTGTCTCTGGTTGTGGAGACTGCGGCCTACTCTCCAGCTGCGGTGCTTGACCTTCCGTTGCAGAGACTTCCCTTGTGAAGCATGGGCTTTAGGGCACACGGGCTTCGGGAGCTGCGGCACGTGGGTTCAGTCGTGGCTCCTGGGCTCTCGAGCACAGGCTCGATAGTTGTGGCAAACAGGCTTAGCTGTTCCATGGCAAGCGGGATCTTCCCAGATCAGGGATCAAACCTGTGTCTTCTGCACTGGCAGGAGGATTTTTTACCACTGAGCCACCAGGGAAGTCCCGCATATGGTTTTAAAGAAAACTATTTATGAAACTGATATTTGCAGCTTTAGTAAATGGAGCCACTGTGAAAAATATATTTACTGGGGAAAAGATGGAGATAGATCTCTGTTGACATCCCAAGCTTCCTGAAACTGGGGGATAGATGAGGTGTTGAGATGCAGACGTGGAGGAGGCCGGGGGGACCAAAGGGGAACCTAATGACCAGTGCAAAGTCTGAAAGCCCTGGAATCCTGGAGCCCCTCGGAAGGCCCCACCGATGCACACGAGACACCTGCAGCGAAGTTTACAAATAAATCCAGTATAACTGATCTTTAGCAAACCAATAACTTGCTTAAATTCACTATTTGCTGCCAGGGTAATACCAGGTTGGGCTGCAGAAATTTCTCCCAGAAGATAACCAAGTCAAAGAGACATTAGGGGGAATTAATATGAGCAATAAAGATTATTTCAGATAGACTACTCTTGAAGAGGAGATATTAACATGAGCCCTAAAATGCTTATTTCCCTTTGAAAATGAGTATATAAATTAGCTACTATTCCCACAAGAGACTATTAAGCAGATATTAAAATCATGTTTTCAAAAACAGTTGATATGGAGACTCAGGATAAAATAGAGAAGTGGAAAACAGCAACCTCAAAAACTGTATACACAGAAATAAAATCCTGCTTGATTCTTTTCTTCCTCTGTGCTGTTACTTTTGCCTTTATACTCTTCTCACATGTCCTCCTTCTCTTCTGCTTAAGATATCAATTTGATACCTCCTCCTCCAGGAAGACTTCCCTGACTTCCAACATCTGCATCAGGGGTCCCAGGTCTGCACTCATACTGTACTCTGTTTCTTTTTATAGGACATACCATATTGCACTGTAATTATTTTTTCATCCCCAGTGGACTGTAAGTCCTAAGCAGATATGCCCTGCCTATGGCTGTCTTATTTACCACTGAGAGTTTGGGACACAGTTGGTAATACTAATGAATATTTGTCAAATCAGTCAATGACAAATGAAAGTTGCAATGCAGAGGAAAGTAACTAATCTCAAGGAGTCTTGAGGCGCAGCAACTGTTCTTTAGGTTAGGAAGATTCCCCGGAGAAGGAAATGACAACTTACCCCAGTATTCTTGCCTGGAGTCCCATGGGCAGAGGAGCCTGGTGGGCTACAGTCCATGGGGTAGCAAAGAGTCCACACGACTGAGTGAATGAGCAATCACGCTGCATGTATCGAGATAGACAGATAGGAATCAGTCAGGAAATCAGTCCTGAATATTCGTTGGAAGGACTGATGCTGAAGCTGAAACTCCAATACTTTGGCCACCTGATGTGAAGAGCTGACTGATTGGAAAAGACCCTGATACTGGGGAAGATTGAAGAGGGGAGGAGAAGGGGATGACAGAGGACGAGATGGTTGGATGGCATCACCGACTCTATGGACATGAGTTTGAGTACACTCCGGGAGTTGGTGATGGACAGAGAGGCCTGGCGTGCTGCAGTCCATGGGGTCGCAGAGTTGGACATGACGGAGTGACTGAATCGAACTGAGATATCCCCTATATTATATCTTAGCTTCAAGTTAACTCCTGTATGGGGATCCCCAATAAGGCAGGGAGGAGAAAAAGAAATAGGCTAAAATGCAACCTCGTACCTTATTCAGTCTGAGACCTTGTGCTTTCTTGGAGAATCACTTCATTCGCCATTCTTGAAGCTGCTGGCGCACTACCACACCCTGGAGTGTTATCATTTGTTATCCTGCACAGTCCCTTTTCTTGTGTCTGTAGGTCCAGTGACTTTCGCTCTAGTCCCAGCATCTGGCAGAACACGCCGTAGAGCTGAGTGGGGGGCAGTCCAGGAACCGTCCTCAGTGCTGGTGACCGGACGATGTAGGAAGCCCCTACATGAACCAGAGGCCACAGGGCAGGAGTGGACGCTTTGCTCTTGGGCACCTGGAAGAATCAGATAGCTCCTAATGACGTGGGGAGCCGGAACTGACCTGGATCAAGGGTGGGTCTGCAGCTTCCTGCAGACAGACATGCTGACACTATGCGATCTGATGGGAGACAGACCAAACCTGCACAGCTCTCAGAGCAGTAACTGGAGGCGGGACCCAGCATCGCACACAGGGTGTGTGGGAGCAAGACTGCATGGTGCCCTCTAGTGGTGCCTATGCGTAATGGAAGGAAAAATGTGAAATCTGGAAACACACAAAAATACGACGTTGTGTTATGTTTTTTCCTTTCTGGCATTTCCCCAATCATCTTTATATTCTTATTGTGACCATGTTCAGGATCACCATCAAATCCTACCTGTGAGATATATCGTGCAAAGGTGTCAGGTGAATATACCTATCTTTTGGAGAATATCGAGTTTATACCTTTTAACCTGGGGATCTTACCCATTTCTAAGGACTATATGTATACGTCCTTAACTATTTTTTCTTATTGTCATTAGTCCAGGAAAAGTATGAATTATAACGTATAATGTTGCAAACCAGGAAAGTGAGCTTGGATCTATTAACCTAGCTGAGACTTGTTTTCTGAGAGGGAACTGTTACTTTTTGTCAATTACCTATGCTCCAACTCTCTCACAGTCACCTTCTTCCTGAAGCTGGTCGCAGGCTAGTCTGCTCTGCCAGTGGAGAAATCTGCTTTTCGTGTTTTATGTGGAGGCTCGGGAAAGTTGAGATGCAGTGCTGGCACTAGTGGCCGCCTCGGTCACCTTAGGAATCCCCAGCCTGCTTTCCCAGGGTGGTTTAGCTTCTGTCCTTGACCTTCTTTTGTTATCTTTTCAAAATTAAAATAAAACAAACACAAATTTAGACGTATCTGACACTCAAAATAACCCTGTTACAGAGGCAGAACAGATATTATCATTCTCCTCTTATACATAAGAAAACTAAGGGGTGGATAAGAAATTG